AATCTCTCAGAACCAACAATGAGAATAAAGATACCAGGAAGATAAGGGGAAAGTGTGGGGAAAAAGCGGAAATTGATTACAAGGATCAACATAAAACTCCCTCCCAGGGGGATGAATAACAGAAAAGTAGGTGAAGGGTGACAGAAGATGATGTAAGATAAGAAAACAATAATAATCTATAACTTATCAAGGGTTCATGAAGGAGGGAGGGCAGTTGAGGGAGGGGGAAATGAGGAGCTGATATCAAGGGCTCAAATAGAAAGAAAATGCTTTGAAAATGATGATGGCAGCATATGTGCAAATGTACTTGACATAATGGATGAATGTATGGAGGGGGAAATGAGGAGCTGATATAAAGGGCTCAAATAGAAAGAAAATGCTTTGAAAATGATGATGGCAGCATATGTGCAAATGTACTTGACATAATGGATGAATGTATGGATTGTGATAAGAGATGTAAGAGCCCCCAGTGGAAGTATTTAATAATAATTTTAAAAATAACTCTTGATATCAATAAGAATTTTTATGTTGCCTTCAGTCTAAAATCTGCCTCCATTTCTCTATCTGATCAACCTCAGTTTGTGGATTGGTCTTCCTGGAGTACCTTAGATAGTGTTAATGTTCCCCTTGTGTCTGCATTCTTCTCTCTATATATCAAATTAATCTAATATATATTAAAGTATTCTAGTAGTTACATGATTCTGTGTCAATTTGAAGAGCTATAAAGCTGTGTAGGGGTTGGTATCCAACTTGTCAGTCAGGTCATCGTCTGATGGTACCTCTTTGCGGGTGTAGCCTATCATAAAGCAAGCCCAGGGAAACTCTCCCTCTCTCTCTCTTAATTCTCCTGATTACTGGCCACCCTGAGAGCTCCCAGAGCCCTGACATGTTTCTGCCAAACTTAGATCACTGCCCTTTGAAATTCCTGCTTTTGGCATCATTGCATGTGACTGAATGAGTCTGAAAAGGGACTTATGAACCAGTATTAGATTTTTAGACTGGGCTGAGATGTTTTCTTGATATATAATTACTTCTTGATATAAAGATTTTTCTTACACATATATGAGTGTCACTGGATTTGTTTCTCTAGTCAACCAGCCCTAACTGTCT